TTTTCTACTTCACGTTCATGACTTAAACTTAGATTAATTTATTGTCACGTAGATCGGAAATTTAAACTGAGAAGTTAAGTGGATTTCCTCAGACACTCTAGGAAAATGCTAAAATAATGCTATACAACATTTTATGACCGCTTCCTTCCACATCTTCTCATAAATATCCTCTCGTTCTGTTCTCTTTCAAGTATGCGATTGAAGAAGTGTTGTTGAAGGAAAGTAATAAAGAATGAAAGAAGCTTAACGAAGTTCTAGGATCTTTTTAAACCAAATTCCGCCTTTGGGTTATAAATTTTGATTCTAAAAATGGGAAGCAGTGATAAAATCATGGAGATGAAATCGTAATTCAACGTGGGGTAAGCGTACCCCTGGGGGTACGCGAAGACATCTTAGGGGCTACGTGAAATTTAAAAAAATATATATATTATTTTATGATAGACACTGAATAATCAGTAATGTAATTTATTTAATTTATTTTAGATGTAGATTATATACTATGTATAATTTGAATTATACACCAACAACTTTGGGGGTACAAAGTTGATGAGAAATTATATCTGGGGGTACGTGAACAAAAAAGGTTGAATACCACTGGTTTAGAGAATCTGAGACCATCTGCTTCCATTTATTTCCAGCCGAAAATATGTAAGCTTTGTAAGTGTTGGTAAGAGAAAAAACTCCATGAACTTTATAAACTTCATAAAGGTAAATTTTAATGGAATTAGTTGATAAAGATAAACTTTTAAATTTAAATGTAAACTCGTAATGTTGTTGAGCTTTACACAGGAATTGCGGGCTGTCAGGTGTCATTATATAGAAGATGGACGTTACAACATTAAGTGACATTCTATTCACGGTATTGACGCTTACTCCATCACCGATATGGCAGGGCCCTACCACACCCTAATGGGTGCGACTTTCGTTTCAGTCTTACCTTAATCAATGTCAGTGACGGTTTCTGGAATTCCACACTTCATTGTCCTTAGACGCCAACTTTGTTCAAGACAGCACGAATTCAGAAGGTGTGTATGAGACTCCTTCGCGGTATAAACGATATATCTGTGGTTTACTGATCTCCTATAGTGAGACGTCTGTTTTGTTTCATAATTAATATGGAAAATATAATTATTTCACCATTAAAATGTCCACTTACCATAGATTTCTCAGTAAATGCAATGTGAAAATGGTTTAGACAAAAGCAGCTCACCGTTGGCGTGATGAATTTTAGACTTCTGAAGGATTAAACGTCGAAAATTGAACTTTTTGCCGTTCCTAGCGCAGTAGAATGCAGGTCAAATTCAATGTTCGCTTCAGCGCCTGACGTATTGAAGCGTAATGTAGACACATAAATGACATTTAAAAACGGCTGATGTAAGAGTTTCAGCATGCAGCGAATTTAAATGACGCTGCTAGGGGTCAATATATTGTACTATTAAGTTGTTACATGTGTATGTAATGATTCGTCAGTTACAATCACAGTAAAGTAGTCAATTTCGTGTTGTAAAAGCACCAGTGTTGATCAGTCCTCACTATTTGTGATTATTTTCCAATATCTGTTCTTTTTTATTTTACGTCTGCATTCGTAAGAGTGTCATTAAATGTTCTAAAACGTCGATAAATCTTGTGCAGGAAGGAGTGTGAAACGCCACTGGTCATCGGTCGAAGACGTAATCAAACGACTGACCTCAACACATAAAAACAGTGTTTATGCAAATGTTTCAAGCACTGAGTCACCCTTGTGGGTGACTACGTTCATTTTTAAATTCTAGCTTTCTTTTCCCGCCTGTTTGGTGTATGGAAAGACTTTATAAATATTTATAAAGGAGGTGTGGTAAGGAGATGTTTCATAAAACTTAAAAACTATATTGAAATTCATAAGACATCAGCAACTTAAATAATTTATTAAATTTCGACGCCAATGAAGATCTTAAATATCGGTGTTACTGCTTTTGAATAACCGGAAGACTACGGGCCCGCCATTGACAGTTTACTGCGGCGTTGAAATTGCAAGCTTTTAAAGTCGATGAAGTTTTCTAGAAAATTCTGTAACAGAAATCGACAATTATTTGTGCAGTGGAATGCGGTCTGAGATGCTCAGTTCTGTCAGGCTCCGAAAACAAATTTTATGTACGAAAATAATAATAGCTTTCTTACACTTCCGCTGCAAATTCCTCATGCAGAGTTTTATGATCGATTTTTGGCAATTGAGACTTCTCCCTAAAACACTAAATATATTTAATTAATTTACAACAGCAAAAATAAAATAATTTTCAAACAATTTTAACAACCGATAATAATTTTCAACTTAGGTTACAAAACATTATGGCGAAGAAATACATAAGTATGCGTAGAGTACACTACAGATTAAACGTATAATTACAAATATGGCGTTACTCTGTCACGAGAGTGGTGAAATCAATGATGAGATTGGCAGGGCATGTAAACATGCATGGGAGAGACGAGACATGTATTCAGACTGGAAAACGTCAAGGCTACTGACATTTAAGACAGTTATGGGCTTTTTTGTATGAATAATAATAAATAGATTTTAAGGAAAAAGCACTTGAGGTCGTGGATTTGGTTCAGCTGGCTTAGGGTATAATCCATGGCGGAATTATGTGAACAATTTAATGAATTCTCGAGTTTCGTTAAACGTAATCTTCCGGTCAAGTCTTGTGGCACGGTAGTTGCTGGAGTTTGTGCACCCCTGACGGTCTACCCCCGGGATAGCCGCGGATCGTAATGGGCTATCACAGAGGAACTGCTGGGGAGGCGTCCCGAGTCACGGCTCGAGTTGCCTTCCAGGTTCGGATGCATTAAGAAATGGACAAGAGTAATACTCCGGGGCGGCAAGGGGGTGGCGATTAAGTGACGTAATTTGTAAATCACGAGCGAAGCATCTTTCCACCGAATCTATAATACTCTACGCTGTTATTTAAGGGCCTATCAGTGGAATTGTGGTTCTGATGTCGTGAACCTTCGTTGTGTTTTAAATATGCTCTTTCTTTCTGCAGTGTAATGTTAAGACACACTGAAAGCTTTCTGGTGGTCCAGCAAATGTTCGACCTTTGAAGACACGAGTTAGTGCAAGGACCTGGTTTCTGGTTTTGTAAATATGTCCGTAATAAACTGACATAGTTAAAAAAAAATAAACCATTAAGCCCAAAAGTTTTTGACAGCATTACCATGGCAACGGTTATAACAAAACAAACATTCATAAATATTATCCTAACTAACTAACTAACTAACTAACTAGATGGCTTACCGAACCCGAAGGTTCATCACCGAATTAACCAAAGCCCTCCACCGGACCCTGTCCTGGGCCAACAAAATCCTATAAGGTCCAAAATCACTTCACTACCAATAAAGCTACCAACCAACTGTTGCCTGCTACAAAGATAGCACCTTAAGAATATTCTGGCTTCGTTCAGTGACTCATCAACTTATAGACCAAAGAACTAGCTTGTTATATTACTGATTTACTTCGTTAAGATGTACTGTCTGCCTATCTTACTCGTTCACTCAGTAACTTACCGATTACTGGTGACCTACTGTACTAAATTTCTGAATGACGAACTAATTTGAAGACAACTAACGCGCCTTGATTTAACGTTAAAGTAAAAAAAAAACTGGAAACACTCGAAAAGTCAATCAAGTAAGCGAAGATGGTCGTTTATACCCGTCAGTGGGAAACAATTTTCTTCCTACCTTGATGAGCCTGTCGCGGATCTCCCAGCTGAAGATGCCTGGGTTCGCCTTCTTGTAGTCCTCGATGCGTTGCTCCACCTCGGGGGTAGCCACCCTCGGCTTACTACCCCCTATGACTCCAGGGCGGATGCTGCCGGTCTCCTGGTAACGATTCAGTATCTTGGACACGCAGCCATGTGACACGCGCAGTTGTCGCGAGATGACGCAGGGTCGAACCCCAGCGGCGGCCATCTCTACGATCTTGAGGCGGATGTGGTTTGGCAGAGGGCGTCCGTTGATGAAGACGCCGCCCAGCTGGTTCACCCTGCCCTGCCCTGTAACCAGAGCAACGTGTTACAGCGCATTCCTTACAGGGAAACAGACACTGCTTCTTGAGAAGCTAGCAGTAGATTAGCTCGTCAAGAAATTCTCCGCGTTTTGTGGAACCTGATTTTTTATTGCCTTAATCACAAGAAATTGCTACTATACAGTATTCAGGGCCACGTTTATCCAGTCCACACCCTCACACACTTTTTCTGATCCCACTTTAATAATATACTCGCATCTGTGTCTGTCTCCTAAGTGGTCTTAACTGAAGTTTTGGACACGTTTCTCGTCAATCTATGCGCGCCCGCCTCATCGTCCTACATTTTATCACTCGCAAAGAGAACAAATTATGGAGTTCTTCGCAATTTGCTCTATGGGATTATTGTTTCCTGTGCATTTGATCCAAATAGTGTTCCGTTAGAGTGGGATACGAAATTTGACATTCATATAAAACAACATGTAAATTTAATTTGGAACATATAAAATGTTAATTTTAAGCTTGTTTCTGATAAGAAAATACATGCAAGGTTGTTATTGTTGTATGTGCTTACTCCATTAACGTTTAAAATAAATTAATGATACTTAACAAATATTAAGAGCTGTAAAACTGGACAGTTTATAACGTCACCTAAATTAAATTCAGATTTCCCGAAAACTGTTTAACATATGTTTCAGAAATTTAAGGAATCCGAGTGTAACATTGAGACTAGAAAGGGGGTGTTTTTGAAAGTGTTTAGTTAGATAATGGACCTCCTAAACAGGAATTCTATATTTTTTATGTTTAAGTCTGTAGACTTTTATTTTTCGAGCGAGTGCATTTGCAAATCAATCGCTTGAGTCTGAGTTAATGAATCTCAATGATTCGTTCTATATTATGACGATGTAAAGTTATTTATATGCATATTTAATATTCTCGTACTGATTTTACATAATTTATTTACGGAAAAATTTAAAATGTCCTTCTCGTCGTGAGGTGACGATAACTGTATTATCATCGCCCTGGGAATTTCTCTCATCAGCCTTACCTTTTCAGTCGTACAGTTTAATTTTCTTGTGCTAGAAAAATATATAAATATATTTACCTGTGTGTTGAAGGGAGTCGTCCTGTATTTTTATAGCCCTCATTTTCTTCCACAGTTTTTCTGGAGTTTTAAAACTTAGGCATAGTTAATTCTTGTTTAAATTGCGAAATATGTGACATTTTTCAAGAGCATAAAACATTTCGTCTGCGTGTGACTTGATCCACTCCGTTATTATCATGACATTCGGTTTTTCTCACTAGCCTTACCTCTCGATTTGTAAGTTATTTTGTTCTTTGTATCATGTCGTTCATTTTTAATTTAGAGCCATTCATTAGTCTTTTTTTTCCCCTTTGTGTTACACACCTGACTGTATATGAATTTTACCCGAAGGTTATCCATTCACTTTTACTAATTGCTACGCCTCCACGTTGTATTATCATCGTTCATTGAGAGAAAAAAATTTAAGGGGGATAAGAGGGGTGTTATCATCCATCATCAGTGAGACAAGTTTAAGATCATCTTCACCGCCCACTACAAGACGAAGAGAGACTGACAAATTGCTGACGATTGAGCCCTGGCTTCTGTGCTGATTGCTCAATCTCTTGTTAGGTTGTTTGTGATGCGCATCTAATGCAAGGCCCCTTTTATCCTAGGCTCGTTGACTAGCTTCCATTCATTAGATCAGAAAGGTTGGTTTAAGACTAAAATGAAGGTTATGCGTTGACGTTTAAGGTGGAGAAGACACTTCGCCCGTAACGTAATCGCGTGAAATTTTATTAACACAGAAATATTTAAAGAATGTTGTGTCAATTATTCTCTCGCTTCCTCGCCATGAAGAAGTCTTGAAGAGGATGACAGCTGAGGACATGAAGGTTCATTACCCGCGTTCTCAGGAGCCCGCTATTGGATCACTAATACCAAGGCCAGTTATCATTGCGCGCAATACTGAGTCAGTTCAGACCAAGTAGGATTTTTGGTTTAACGTCTTAGTATTAACAAATTTGTACACCTGTAACTCGTCAAAATTTTAGCCTGGGCATAATTTCCCTTCTTTTCCAACGCTTCAAATGAAGACAATAAAATATGTTTCAAAAATTTGTCAGTTGACCGAGCCTCTGATATAACTTTTTTTTTTCTTCACAAAAACTCCTGCAATATATAAGAATACTTTGTTAGAAAGGGAAAGGATCCTGAAATGTAAATCAGTAGAAAGATGGGCTCAAAACTGGGAAGGTTTTAAACCTCTGTTACATGCCTGAGAGTTTCAGGGCATTTTGAACCGGAGTTAATGTCTAAACTTCGTGACAGTTCCGGCAACATAATTCTAATAAAAAAAAACATGACGTCAAGGTAAATAATAAACATAATGTAGTATATATAAAAAAGATATAAGATTTAGAAATATGATGAGAGAAAATACGTGTAATGAGTGGATAAGTGATTCGTGCTGGAGTTGCTAGCAGATGCTCCCGAAGTGTGGGCAACACAAGAAGGATTGTTCACGATGGAAGTAATAAATTACACCAAAAAACACTCCAGATGAGAAAGGACCACCTACCTACAACGAAAGAGGGAAATATTCCCTGCTGAGTTATCCGCGTTACGAAGTTTGGATAAATGAGGTGAACAAGGTCTACGGAAAGAAACTAATGCAGTAATCTGTCTACTGACCAGCACTTGTTAGCGCCAACTGATCACATTAATTTAAATGAGAATGGAATCGTGACTATGGAAATATGCGAGGTCAAACCTACGGATCAAACAAATTCAACACGCATGTCCTCGGTTGGATGCAAAGAGATCACCATATTGTTTACAAACGGATTAACGGATTAAGCGTGTTCCGTATGTATCTTACGAAAGATGCCATTTTCTGCAGTAGGGATCAAATTATACGAAGCGCTTCTTAAGTACATTTCATAAATTAATTTACCCATTAAAATATATACAAGTTACTTAAATGTTATGCCTGATTTCTTTTTTATATATTTAAAGACATTCATTGTTTTTATAGTACCAGAAAATTCATTACCGATGTTCATGAAGGCCCTCCACTGGATCCTATCCTGATCCAGCAGAATCCACTCCACATATCCTATTTTTCTTAGATATATTTTAATATTATTCTCCTATCTACGATTAGTTGTCCGAAGTGGCGTCTTTTATTGGTGTCTACTTATTAATTTGTTTCCCATTTCTTATGGGTTTACGGTGTGTTATGCCCTGTAAGGTCAATGAAGCTTTCCAATGTACAAACTTCGCGGTGAAATGGTCGGAATTGTTTCGTACACAGGACGAGGTGAGGGCTACGGTTCAAATTTCGGTCCAGAGACAGCTGATCTGATTGTTCTTTTGAAAATGCTGGCATATACCGTCAGTCTAGGATATTATTTCTTCCATACACGTTATTTCCATTTTATAATGTATAACCATCCTGTCACTCGACGCTAAACAAATGTATACAGCAGGTACAGTGTCGTTAAATAAGCTTGGATGGAAAAGAAAGAAGTACATTAGTGAGGCTTAGATCTGTAATTATTGCTGCTGAATGAACCGTTCGCTGGTCGCCGACAGGAGTCGAGCAGGAGGTGGGCCACTTGGTGTTTCTTCAGCGTATAATTACGGCTTCCGTCTGATGAGTGACTGCTACTGATTTCTGACAGTACAAATTCTAATTAGCGGTCTCTTTGCAGCTGCGCAGTGGATAGATAGACCCTTTTTGAACTTTGTTGCTGACAAGTATTGAAAATCTGGATTGCAGTGTTTATTTACTTGAAAGAAAGTACGATGGGCCGGTGCATAACTTCGACTATCGGGTGTGAGCCGCCGAATCGTTAATGTTGAGTATTAGCCGAAGTTTCGGCAAGCATTGCAGTTGACATCTTCAGAGTAAATTTTTAATGGGTCGAGTTCTAAAAGCTCGCGGCAGACAATAAGTAAGCGAGTTAAATTTGCCGATTGGTGGAGCGGAGGAATTATCTAATGCCACTTATGTTGACTTAAGATGAGTAACAATACAATATCAACTTTTAAGTCACGTCATGGTATTTTTTTTTTGAAGTTATGTCCTTGTTACTCAATGTGCCTATAAGAGGCGAAACGTTTATTAAAATCTACGAGGTAGAGTCCCACTTGAGAAGCTGATAGTCATTCATTCGGTCGGGACATTCTGTCCGCTTATTGAACGCCAAGTTTCGCCATCGTGCTTTGAGGAGTCTGCCGCTGTTCTAAGCCGTTTAATATCATTTCTCCATCTACTCCCATGACTTAAAGGCGTCTTCCGTTATGGTCTCTCGACTAAAAGCTCCTCGTCCACGCCATCCTCCTTGGTTAGACCGCCCGTTCTTGTAGGCCTTAGTTTAAATGCCTGGATATTTTGCTGCCAAGCGCTTAAAAATGTCGCTCTGTTCTGTGTACTGACTCGGCAGACACGAGTGTTTCTTACCTTGGAACGAATATCCGGTGAAGAGAGGATGGATGCTCAGTCCCGCCGTTCCTGCCATGATTCTGATAACATTGACTTCTTCCAGCATGGACACACGCACTCACACACTATCCAACCCCCTGTGACGAGTCACCCCTGTAACAGTACCCGAAATAAACACTGCTACTCTTTTCCATTGTCCATCCACTACGAAGTGGGGGGTTTAGTTGAGACCTAGAAGGGGGTGAGTGTAACCAAACCAAACCAAACCAGGGAGGTTTCTGATTTTGAAAAGGGATGTTAGATGAAATAAGTATAGGGTAACTGTTAACACCCTCCTGTTCCCTTCCCCTTATTGGATTCATTGTAGTTGATCTTTTATTTTCATTCGGAGATCTCCCTCTTCTCAGAGAAACGATCGCCATTGGCTCTTTTCATGGGTTCTGGGAGGTGTCATTGTGCTGGGGCAACACCTCTGCATGTCAGCCATATCCATCCATCTAGTCACAGTCACATAGTCACATAGTCACATATGTGATTGCTGCATTGTGTTTCGCTGTGTTGTGTGTACCAGTTCCACCAGCATCAGGAACACAGCAAGGGCGGGGGGTGGGGATTTATCTCTGGTATTTTCCTTGATCTGGTGTAGGACCACCAAAGTCGAGATATGTGACGTCATGCCACAGTCTGTCTTATTTGCATCCGTCTTCTTCTCATTATTCCTTCAAGTTTATCTCCATGTAGTATCCAAGTATGTCTAATCCCATTTAATGAATTGTTCGCTTTAATTTATATATAGACCGACCTCATTCAGTTTAGTTGTTTTTTCTTTATCTATTTTTTTTTGTATTTGATTCATGAATTGCATCGTGTTTCTTTTGCAGACTTACACATGTTATAATATTTTAAAATAAATAAATAAATAAATAAATAACTGTTTGTTTGCAACTACGTCGTCAAATTACGAGTATATTGATTGCAATATTTTTGCTCCTCGGATGTCGCTAGAACCAATGGCCCCCTCATCACTGTGTGTGACCTACCATCTTCTGTAACATGGAATGAAACGTCGGAAGTAAAATTCCAGTTGCATTCCTGTAAGCTAAAGCCAGTGCCTTGCGTGGCGCTGCCTGAGAGTTTGTTTACAACCCTTAAAATATAGTACATGCAATATAACGCGTTACGATAAAAACTAAGTCCTCATAACACGCCTCTCAAAAAGGAGTGTCAATTTTTACTCAGTACCGTTTATTTGAAACGAAATGCTAATGTCATTTTCAGTTCCACAAAAATATGTTATTTTTGTTAAACCTATTAAGAGAGAGATTACGCCTATTTAATGTCTTTAAGAACAATTTGATTTCCACTTTCATTTCCTTACGTATTTTTATTCCTTTTTATCTCTGTTTTCGCTTTCTCTCTTTCCTTCCATCTATCTTTATATTTTCCTCTTGTTATGTCTCTTTCATACTTTAGCTCCTTTACATTTTCGTTTGTTTCTCTATTTCTCTCCTTCCCTTCTGTGTTGGTGCCCGCTGACACCGGTATGGTAATGACCACAAACGTTAAGATACCATTCACTTGGTGGTCGAATACATTACCACTTTTCGTCAGAAGATCCCGCTCCACACGCGAACCGTTGATCTTATGTGCCTATTATAACATGAAAGGGTCAACACTTGAGTGTTGACCTCAGGGCAGAAAACACTTGCTCGGTACCTCCCTCCCTGTGAAGTTGGATCCATTCCTGCGGGAATATAGTGGACGATGATTAGGTGCCTTGGTTCATTGAGCTTACAAACCATAAACAGCGAGCCTCTTGAGCGCTGCTTTTAGGTACAGTCGGGTTTTTGATTCCCGGCCGCTGCATTGAGCTTGAGAAGTTTTGTAGGTAGTCTGGAAAAAGCTCTGTTGAGGAAAAGTTTGACGCGTTATTACTACAGAACATTACTCGTTGACACGGCTTCTACAGTCAGTGAACTCGAGGAAGACCACTGCACATTATTTTGAAACTGGACACATCTAAGAACTGAGGGCAATACTTTGTTGTTCATATGGATATATAGTATTTAGTGCAAGGGTGCGAGATCGATTGATAATGGAGAAACTCCGAAATATAAGATATTTAAAAATTCAATTTCACTACCGTTAAGAATGAGTAGGAGCTATAAGTTCTCTCCCCACAAGCGCCTACATGGCGTATAGTGGGACTTTACTTGTACTTTAAATACGTTTGCGAAGGATAGTTGCAAAAATGTCTATTTGCCTCCATTTCCGTCGTCCAAGGAATAGAACGCCCTCTTGCGTTTATTTTTCAAACTGCCACTAACATATGACCTTAATAAAACTTTAGGGATGACTCATAGTTAAGCGATAGGTGTACACGGCATTTTAAGTGGTTTATAGTTCCATACTGCGTTAAGGCGAGGGTAGAAACCCGCCCTTTAGAGGCACCGAACGGCGTTCTAGTGTACCAGGAAAACTGAGGTGTGTCTAGTGTTTATATTCAATTTTGCTTTACGGAAACGGGCAACCTCAACATGCTATTGCATGATCTGG